ATATCCTGGTTTTCTGGTCCGCGTGTAAGCTGGGGCTCAAATGCCGCGGCTGCTTGACATATCCTGGCGTACGTTGGCACCCCCCATCCTGCCTTACTGATCCCTCGTTTGCAGGCGCGTTTGCACGTCCGTTTGGCTCGTTTGCTTCGCATGCCATGATGCATGTGCACTGTACAGCGTTTGTGCAAATATGCTGCATACGCTGTTGCTCAGGTGCCTATTGTCTCGCAATGCTGGTACTCAGGCGTGTGTTGTCTCACAATGTTTGTGCTCAGGTGCCTACTGTCTCGCAATGTTGGTGCTCATGGTCCCATTGTCCTGTGGGTCCTTGTCTATGCTGGTGCTCATGTGCCTGTTGTCCCGTGATCCCTGTGTATACTGGTGCTCAAGGTCTCATTGTCCTGTGGGTCTTTGTGTATGCTGGTGCTCTAGGTCCCATTGCCTTGTGGGTCCCTGTGAATGCTAATGCTCAGGTGCCTGCTGCCCTGCAGGTGCCTGTGTATGCTGGCGCTCACTGCTTCCTGCTGAGTGGAACAGATGACCCCCCTTACCAATACCACGGGGAGAACGGGCTCGGTAACGCCCGCTTCGAGGAGCCGCTGCCCGCAGTCAAACAGCGGCCGGAGCATGCCGTGACGGCACTCTCTCGCCTCGCCAGCGAGCACAAAGGTCAGACTGGGTCAGGTGACGTCGTACGCTGACGTCGGAGGGTGCCAGGCGTACGCAAGTCAGGTGGGGCGCGCGCTTAGGTATGGGTCACACGGTCCCTTACGCTGACAGGAATGTGGGTATATCGCGCCGCCTGTGCGCTGGTGACGCACGGTTGGAGAGATTCACTGGAACCTGCGTTCCTCCCGGCCTACGTGCACTTGGCTTTTCCTGCCCAGTGATCTGTCGTTGCCTGCTGACGGTATGGCTCTCGAAGATAGGGTCCAGACTAAACAGCGGGACCCGTGCGACATGGACTGTAAGCTTTCAAGTGCGCAATATGATGGGCTAAATAAATAAGCTACAAGGCGACTATAGGCTGCTCTTCTACTCCAACAATAGCAAGAATATTGCTCAGGAAGACAAAGACTGACAATGATAGAACGAGCCTCACATCTTTGGATCAGAGTTTGACAATGGAAGGCACTCCATGCCGTAAGTTGTGACAAACACTTTCATATTTTTGCCATATTTCGTCGTGATCCCAATGATGTTCAGACATATAGGTACACTAGTTGGAATTTTTAGCTGCAACAGTTGGAATTCTTTGTTCTGGTAGTAATTGATCTTGAGTATGCTGGATGGTACTTGTTAAACAACATTGTGAAGCAAGCGTTGCCTTTATTGACAAAACTCGCCTTTGCAAGTCATGCTTTATAGCGATAGAGAACAGTAGGAGAGAGCGAGAAGGAGAGTGAGAGTGAGAGGAGAGGAGGAGAGAGAGAAAGAGAAAAAGAGATCCCTCTGGCTCCAACTTTGGAATAGGATGTGCTTTGTCTCCTTCTTCCAACTTGCGACGGGGGTCTGGGTAACTTAAATGACCAGGTGTGTTGTGTACTCCAATCTTCTGTCTGTGTGACATGAGCACTGACCGTTTATGTGCGGACGGGTTTGGTCCGCGTCACCACAGCTATTTGGTTAAGGACCTCAGTCGGTTATAACTCATTAAGACGCCACCACATTTGGACCCCACCAAGACTATTTCCGGTCACATCGTCACCTAACTTGGCGTCATAATGGCGTCATGGCGTCACCAATATGCCTAACTTGGCGTCATCTGTCCATGTGTTGTCTGAAGCCATTGCATATTACCTGATCATCGTTGTTTGTGGACCATTCCGTCGATCTCTCGCTGTCGAGAGACGCCTTTCGCCGCACGTCCATGGCGCAAGGTCAGCTGGGACGCACTCTGTCTCCATCTTCTGCAGGCCGACTGGGGCTCGGTATACCGGGAGGCGAAAATGGATCGGAAAGTGACAAAAATCATGCACGTGTGGTGGAGTGCGGTCGACGTGCAGCGTCCCTTAAGAGCTATAACCCTCGTCGTCGTTTGCAGTGGTCAATAACATAAACATTTCTGTCCTGCCGAAACCAACAACCCGGGCCGAAACCCAACTCCCGGCCTACCGGCGTCTTTGAAGCCGCGGCAAGGCCCCTTTGCGACGTCGAAGCTTGATATATTTCCGATACCCTGCTCACAGGCCATGCCGGTTTCTTGTGAAGCAGTGATAACTTCGCTTTCCAGCCCACGAAGGGAGGAGTGGCGCCGAGGTGGACCTGTCCATAGCATGGTATTTGGTTTTCGTCAGCCCATGTATCGCTGCCGAAATGGCAGCGACACCCTTGGCCTGCCACCTGGAGTGCCGTGACTGCTGCCAGTCTAAGGCAGCATCACACTACTTTGCTTAAATTTTCGATTGCTACGAGTGGGCTGTCATCATCCAGGGTGAAAGGACGAAGCGGTGTGCCGCTGTATACGTTACTTAAATGTCTCCTTGTTCTAAGAAGCCACTTGCTCTATGCCATCAACATATCTGATGTCTCTTGTGTTTTTCCTGCCTTCTGGAAAGTGGCCTCTGTCCTTCCTCATCACAACTCCGGTCTCAATGGTATCGCTAGTAATGTCAGGTACCACATTACATTTACCACACTACTAACGCTGTGGCGGTGAGGTGCGTGTGTGTGGGTGGGGGGGGGGGGGGGGGTTCTGGAGTCGGCGTGGTCCCACCGTCGCCGTCACCTTAATTGATCTGAGTCGTGTCTTCGATAGTGTCGACCCAAGGCGTTTCGTCTGGAAGCATTGTATGACATCGATCCTAGGTGCTTCAAACAACCTGTCTTGCCGTTTGGCGGTAGGTGGTAAGAGGCGGTTGTCTCTTCCTTCTCCTGACTCACGGCACTCCTCCGATATCCCTAATCGGTCTTTATCCCTCCCAGGACCACCGCGCTTGACATGCAGCCTGCATCCGTCGCGGACGTCTGACATTCCACGCCGACGGTATCTAACTGCTGGACTGCTCTCATCCCGACCAATTATTTGATCATTATCACCAGCTTTCTTGTCGCATCATCACCTTTAGAAATCCCGGCACGAGGAAACCATCCCAGTGATCCTACTTCACATCCAACTGCCCAACATGAATTCCACTAAAGCAATGTCTCTCCTTTTCGGTACTCTACAGTCCCTAAACAACCCTTATCATTTAAGCTTACCGTTGCTGGACAAAAAACAGCCCGCTCTCCGTCTGTGAAGATGCTGGGGGCGGCCATTAGCTCTACTATTTCCTAGGAGAAGAAACGTACTGAATGCTGTCAAGAAGTGCTGTTCTCTGTATGAGATACGTCACCACCTCACGCCCCCAAAATCCGTAAGCTTATCCAGTCCCACGCCCCTCCCATGTGCTGTACTGCCTCCCGGTCTGTGGCGTGGCTGCGGTGTGTTACGTAAACAGAGCGCGAGGGGGCGTGAGTCATGACCAGGATCATCACTGGCGCTCGTCAGGGAGACTCCATGGCACCGTCGACTGGCAACGTCCTGGATTGCCGTGGCGTAAATGAGTGATCTAGGCACCCACTGTGCCAACCTTGCTGTGTGCAGGCCCCTTGAAGACTCGCGGGCTTCGTTGGCGGTCCGACCCATGTTCACCCCACGTACCGCTGTTTGCCAGCATGCCACCCGGACGGCAGCGGCGAGCGTCCTTAATGTCCGCTATCCGATTGTCGGTGGCACGCAGGACCTCCTAGTGTCGCGGAACCGCCTGCCCCCGACCACCACCGCCAATCGAGTCCGTAGGGAAATAGAAAAAAGATAAGTGTTTGTCTATGTGTCATGACATGTTTCGACGATTCGTTTTCACATTTTTGTAAGTTTTAGAGCTGGAAGGTGGTCACCTTTTTGACGCTGTACTACTCCACTATCAATTAAGTAGTGGGTAGTATTGAGTATATTATGAGTATTCATCTATACCTGTATCTATCATATGTATATGTATACATTTATATATATATATATATATATATATATAATATTATGTGTTCAGTCCAGCGGCCCTTTCGGAAAAACCTCCCCGAGGAGCATCCTGGATCCGCGCCTGGCGCCAACAATAACGCGGCGCGCCGGCGCAGGTCAGCTGGCGGCCGGCAGGTGGCAGCACGTCGGCTCCCTCCGGTGGCCGCGGCGGCCTGACCAACAGGCGCGGAGTGAGGGCCGCATGACAGGGCCGCCCTCTGGCGCACGCAGCTGTTGTCAGGGCCGCCCTCTGGCGCACGCAGCTGTTGTCAGGGCCGTGGGCTTGTCGCGCGCAGCTGTTGTCAGGGCCGTGGGCTTGTCGCGCGCAGCGGGCGGCAGTCCTCCCCTGACCACGGTCAGCGGTGGTCCCTGCGCAGGAAGCCGCTGCAGATGCTGCCAGATTTTCAGAGACCCTCGCACAAAAGCAGTGCAGCTCATAAGATAAACTTTGAAATTCATACGCGTTGTCTAACCCGATACGAATTTGTTGTTTCTGCTCTTGATCTATAGAGGTTGGTCTCAAAATGGAGTGGAAGTTGAACAGGCTCGTTCTGAGCACCAGCATAGAAATAAGAGCAAAACAATTGCCGGAAATTGCAACACTGGACGAGCAAAGGTTACCTTTGCGCTATGGTGTGCACTCAGACTGACACAATGATCGCTGGAGCTGACTTCTACTAGCAAGTACAGGCCGTCCTGATATACTTAGGGTTGTACACAATATCAGCTTCAAGCGTCTGTTGGTTTGTATATGTCTTGTGTTTCATCTCCTCCTATCATTTTATTCCATCTCCTATATCTCCTCATAATTCTAATGTTTCACCAGTGCGTCAAATCTCGTTTCCAGGGGAGCTGACGGTCGTGGCACTGGGACCACTAACAAATATCGCCTTGGCTGCACGCATGGACCAGGAGTTCATGACGAATATCAATGATATCTACCTTATGGGTGGAAACTACACAGGTCAGACATATGCGTGTCTTCATTTATGATGTGATCCAACGTGTATGCATGAACTGTCACTGACTTTCTGCGCATTATGCGCTTGCACTGTCCCACCATCAGTGGCATTTATATGTGCCTTTACGATTTCACTGGGTAGCCAAAACGTTTTGGCTCTGCCTGGAGCTCGCTGTTTCGTCACCTTTGACGGCAGAGGAGGAGGATGGGAGGAGGGCCGGGACGGGCGGCGAGTCCTTTTGCTAAACTTGTGCCCGGCATACCAGAGCGAAACAAAACAAAAAAAACAAGAAGCAGAACGACACAAAACAAAATTGAACAAAATAACACGGTTATGTGCGAAGCAGAAATCAGATGACGCATTCAGGTTCGACCATCTAAAATTTTGTCCAACCGCCGGTTTACTTTTGTGACATGAATATTACATTGAATGTGAGTGAGTAAAGAGAATGCCTCACATTTAAGCATATTAACGCAAGTATGACACATGATGAAATAAACTCACTTAGAACTACTGGTAAACTTTGAAATGGAAAACACTGTTAGACGGCACGATGACTCTATTCAGTAAATGTGCTCCTCAATACGCCATTGTTGGATGACATCACGAAAAGTTAGCGTGACGTTGAGGTGTTACCAGACTAGCCGTACCAAAACTGCCACCATAACACTCACGTGTGGTAGTTCAGTCTCCCGAGAGGTGGGCCGTGGCGGTGCTGGAAGTGTTTGCTAACCCAATATCCCCATGTGCTCGGGTGAACACCCTTTCTCGTGGTGTTCTTGCATATTTGTCCGTCAGTTTAATGCGTTTAATTGCATTCACATACTCAGTTATGACGCTTTTATTAAGTACTTTATAACAAGTCTCTTTTCCGTAATAACTAGCCCCTATGTCCAACTTCTTATACTATGTGCCACAAAACGTGATTCATTATTGAAACTTGCACAACCTGTTTAACATAGATTGAAAGCAATTTACGTCCATTATATCTGGAAATCGCGCCCACGAACCTCGGATATGAAGGATTCGACGATTACGTTCTTCTTGGTCTTGAACGCCGCGTGGCCAATGGGGTACTGGGTCTTGGATGATGTTTCTATGGTGTCATGCGTACCTGAGTGGCCTTGAAATATTCTGCGCGAAAAAGACAGTGCGGGCATGTAACATGTTTATTACGAAATAAAAAAATATGGGAGCCATTCAATGAGTTTTCAATTATTGCAGGTGCTGTACTTTAAATAGGTATGTACATGTGCTTACACTACTGAATAACCAGTTATGCCTCTCCACGCCTAACTAGTGACTACGAATACAACATCTTTGTTTTTTACAACCATCACATGCACTCGGGCAGATTTCCATAGTCTACATCACTGACACATGCTTCACCTGATATTTTACTCCTTTTTCACCTATAGACCTATGCTTATAAAAGCCTCGGTTTGACCGATCGACTTAGGGGAGGAGTAGTATTTTAAAAGGAATTTTATTTGAACATATATAGATGACCTTAAGTCCTAGACTGTTTAGAACTTGTAGACTGGCAGAAGAGTAAATTTCGGGAGAAAAGTAGTTGAGGGCATGACTTTTCGGCGCTGGCCATCATCAGGTGGGTAAAGAGAGTAAAAGGAGTTATCATGCACTAAGGATGTTTTCCCTCCTTTTCTCTTTCCTATCTTTATTAACGTGATAAGCCGAACGCCAAAAACGAATGTTTCCATCTACTCTTATCCTGATCTTTGCTCATCTACCAACCCACAAGTCTCCAAAGGCTTTCCAGAGGGTCAATGTTGTTTAGGCTGAAGGTTATCTATCTATTCTTGCCTAGATTTATTATCGCCTTGCTATCTTCGCCGTGTGCCCCGAAATTAACTAGTGGAATTTATCAAACTGCTGTGTCCCTCAAGCAGTAACTGTCTCTTGGAATGATTCGTTTGGTATTATCCAGCATCACCTTCTTTGAAGCTCAGATAGGTTTATGAGAACTCTGTCAGGTCATAGTTGCACCAATCAGTCCCCAGCGAACTTCTTCGGAAGAATGGATCGTGCCATTTATTGACGTTGGCTTTTAAAAACACTTGAAGTGCGTGATTCGAACCATAAAAACTGGTTCGTCGTCAATGAAGATTTGTCAAGAATATGCTCCGCCTTCTCAGCGACGTACTGGCTTATCTTTTCCTGGGGCAAAGACCACTCCTCAAACTGCGCAGATCCAGCTCCGTCATTGTTCTCTTTGTTGAAACCGCTCTAATCCGCTGAACTGAAGAGCTGACCTGGCTTTCGGGCACCGGCAAACAGTCGGTATTCTTTGATAATCTGATTCGACACTTTATGCAGAGGGTGATCCCCTCTCGAATCCCTCGTTCATCTTCACCGTTTCACGCATTCCCACAGACGATCCGATGCCTGCCGTACTGTTCACGAGGATGTGTCTCTTATGGCAGTCATGCGGTGTTTCAACAAAATATAAGAGCAATGGTGTAGTCAAACGTACATCCAAAAGAGGCCTCTACACATAGTTGTATTTCACTTTTTTGATCGCCCGCATGTCTACTTTGCGCGAGCCACTCCATGGAGTTCGTACGAAGGTGATCCCTTTGTTTTGATCCGGCTTGTCCGGGCGGCCGGCCAACCTCAACCGGCCCAGGGTTTACAGAACGTGACCTTCGCGCGCGAGATAATAGCCTCTCCTGGTTCCTGATACTAGAAAATCGTCCGTCATACGCAATGGTGGTTGACAAATATTGAAACAATGGTGTGGTGTAAAAACGCATGGCCATGTACTTTTTATAACGGCACGTGAATGAAGTACACGACCATGTGTTTTTCACTGACTAGGGCTCTAGTGCACGGGCTCTGGTGTAGTTCAGAAAGGATAAATGGCATTTGATTGCAGAATAAAAACGTTTTATTGATGTCACTGTGTTGGGTTAGTATGAATTGTGGTCTTTGGCTGCCATCTGCTTCATTTGGCATAGTAACCGTATTTGTAAAACAGCAGTTTTGGAACGCAATGCACGTACGTGCCTGGGTGTAACCATTGTGGGGAGGGAGAAATGTCACCTACAATGTTCCGAAAATGGCATTTTCCCCCGACCTTCGCCAGCAAAATGCACCTTTCGCATTTTTACATCTAGAGTAATGTCTCTTTAGTGGGTGTTCCTCCCTTCCCCCCCCCCCTCCCCTCACGCCCACTTTATCCTGATTTGTCCACCAATCCCAGAGAAAGGGTTACGCCCATGTGCAAATATGCAGAACATTTGCCTTTTTTCATCGGGTGATATCACGCGCAAACGATGGAAATGTTATATGTCATGAGATGTCATATTTTTGACCTTAAGCTATGATAAGATTCATCCAAGTGCCAAAATCTGAGTTCCCAGTTCATAATGACTAAAAACTAGCAGCTCAATGCCTGTCTAATTTATATCAGGCATGAGTCGCAAAATTCCTTAGCGAAACGTCACCAATGTTTGATCACATTCGCTTATTTCGTACGGGTGGTCCATGAGCTATCCATGAATTTGGGCCAACGTACTCATCAAGACCTTTATGTGGATACGTGGCGGGGCTTTAAAGGAAAAAGTACCTTTGGTTTGTAAATGTATGGAATAGATTATTGATTGTTATTGTGCCTAGAATTCTTGTTAACATTGTTTCTACTATGGGTAGCTAGCGGTAGCTATGGCCAAAACTTTGTACATCTTATAAGCTCAGGGCTCAAGCGCCCGTCGACATGTGATGGAGTATATCAAAGGTCAAATTGCGCAACCATTTACTTTAATGCGGTGGCGTGAGGCTACCTGAGGTCAGTGCATGACCTCCTATGACATTTTCCGAATCATTTCGCACAAGCTATCGTCATGGTAAGAAGACAAAATTTACGCACTGTGAAAGGTTTGTAAAAACACTGCGCGGTCCCGAAAACATGACCTAATACAACCTTGACGTTTAATGATGCTCATGCCAACAATGATGGTTGCTATTACTCGCGATATAACGGGATTTATAGGGCTTTGTCTTAGTTTCCTGGATTTTACTTGGCTTCGCCTAGGATACTATGAAGTGGTCGCGAGCATTGATCATCTGCATGATCAATGCACGAAGCACATGAATTCCATCATCTTGCAAACTTGCATTGGCCTTCAGCAAACCGGGCCGTAACTGCTGAGAGGATATATCACAGCAATTATTACGATGCATGATGGTGAGCGGTTGACGTTGTTTCCAATAATAGCTGAAAATATATTTTAATGATTGCTTGAAATATTCGTTTATCTTTTACGTCCTGGCATATTGACGGTTGGTTATTTTTAGCGCACACGTCACGATACCAAAAAAGAAGGTCGATATTTATTTTTTTATTGATATCAAATACAGCCAACTCACACCTTTAACATCATCCAACAAGAATATTTGGTTTACAAAAGGGTAAACATGCGTCGTGGACCACCGAATTTTTCAATGCCAAGTCTCGCAAACGAAACAATTTACCAATGCCCTGACACGACAGATAGTTGAGATTAGCAAGCTGTCAAATGAGTACGACCGAACTTATTTACACTCTGCTGCAGCGACGTGCAGAGCGATTCGGGAGATCCGCCGAAGAAGAAACAGGGGAGCTGCATGGCATGCAGGGAGCCCTTCCTCCCCCCCCCCCCCCCTGTCATGCACCTGCGCCAGTCGAGACTTTTACGTTTCCATGTGTTGTGGTTAAAGCCGTCCGTGGTCACACCTAGCCGGTGAATTCCGCGTCCTTTACTAGTGTGAGCGCGCGTGCGAAGCTGCCGCTGCCCGGCAGGCCTCGGCAACGTGAAGCCGTCCGGCGAGTTCAACTTCGTCTGCGACCCGGAGGCGGCGAACATCGTGCTCGCGTCCGTGCGCCGACCCATCTTAATCGCCTCGTGGGAGGTCTGCCTCAACCACGGCCTCGACATGGTCAGTCATACCCGCACACGGCCTCGACATGGTCAGTCACGTCCGCACACGGCCCCGACATGGTCAGTTACGCCCCGCACACGGCCTCGACATGGTCAGTCTCGTCCGCACACGGCCTCAACATGGTCAGTTACGCCCGCACACGGCCTCGACATGGTCAGTTACGTCCGCACACGGCCTCGACATGGTCAGTTACGCCCGCACACGGCCTCGACATGGTCAGTCACGTCCGCACACGGCCTCGACATGGTCAGTCACGTCCGCACACGGCCTCGACATGGTCAGTTACGCCCGCACACGGGCCGTGTGGCCTCGCTCGTAAGTGCATGAATGGCTGAACAATCGGCTGCGGGCTTCACGGTGCGTGTCAGGTGACCTTTTCCTTTGGACGCTCGCCTGCCTTCGACGCCCCACACAGGCCATGCTGCTAGATTTGCCGGTATCACGAATGATCACAGTGTAAGCCACGGCATGCATGAAAATGCAGATCGCATGCATAATGGCCTATGACATAGCGTTTCAGATAGCCACTTAGGAGTCGGATGCGTGCTGTTTGTGAAGGGTTCATGTGAAACCACCGATTAGCGCGATTTCTTCTCGACCGTGTTGCCATCACGTGCCGTTACTAATGGCAGCAATGGATTTCGCCCGTAGATACACTTTCGCACCTTGTATAACACCTTGCCTTTGCACTTTGTACTTTGTATGACTGTATTTGAACCAAACATAGCAACTGTTGAAATCAAACAAAACCGAGACATGACATGGGTAGCACCGTTGTCAACCTCTGGCGCTTCGATGGCAGATCCAGTGCAACAACGCATGGAAAGCGATAATCCCGTGTGGACCGGGTGGAGCCGCCATTTAAATCGAGACTCGACGATGCCACCCGCTGTCATACTATCGAAGTCCTGGGGTGTGAAGATCGTTCAATGCGCCCGTGATATCTTGTCGCACCTGGCTGCACACTTCTTCCGTCACAATCTAGCTGACGGGCGGCTGGAAGCCGTGCGAAAGTGTCTAGTCATCTCCGCCCCTCTTTTTGCCGCCATGATGACCGCCATGTCTCTTGCAACCATGACAACGACGGCGACCATTGTCATCATCATCATCATCGTCGTCGTCATCTCCGCCTCGTCTCTTTCCACCACGACGACGGTGGCCATTGTCATCATCATCATCGTCATCGTCGTCACCGCCTCGCCTCCTTTTGCCGTGATGCCGTCTGCCACCGTCATCATCATCATCATCATCATCATCGCCATCATCATCACCACCGCCTCGACGTCCCGATCTGCAGCAAGTCTGAATGCATCCGTACTTGCTGCCCTTTCTGGGACAACGCGTGCAAGGATGCGTTTTGCCCCGACATGAAGATGACCCTGCAAAAAGAACGGAATGTGGATAAGACCAAACGTGTGTCGTCAACAGATATGACCTTTGTAACGTTCAATCTAGATCCATAAAACTCGATATTAAGCAGTAGATAACACATAAATGTAGGTGTAGATATACCACCTTTTGTCACACCTACAGATCATGGCGAGGGTACCCATAGTGCAGTGGTTAAACAGCCTGCGAAACCAAGGGAGCAGGCTTCGAATCTCCGTGGTGCCCGCCCTTCCTGCTGGGGTGAGAGCCAGTCGGCCCCGTATAGCCTCAGCAGCTGACTGCGTCGCAAAGCCCCAATTGCACATAGACACCAGCCACAAGAAGAGCCGCCTTACCTTCGGCAGTTGCGGCCAGCGCTGCAACGACAAGCGCACAGACGACAAGCGCAAAGACGAAACGCATCGTGCCTGCCCGACGTTCAACGGTGCGGTGCCTTCGTCAGCATGGGCAACGCCTCCTGAAATGTCTCGTCTTTTATACTGCCCTGAGGAAAAGGTCAGGAGCGTGACAGCTGTCACACCGCGGCTGGCTGACGTGTATGCAGCCGACAGCAGTGGAGCCTTCATGTTGAACAGAAATCAGCCAACCTCGACTACGCTCAAACGTAGTGCGCTGCCACGCAATAGCTCAGCGACCTGCCAGCTACATGCATTGGTTCCCCAATGATCGCTAGGGCCCGACCCATGGTCGCCGCGTCACTGCGCCGCGTCAGGCGGTGGCGCTTTTGTGAAAATCGGTGGGATAAGACGGTTTTGTCGTAATGGCGCGAGGCGGCGACGAAGGCAGGCCCGTTGTTTTTGTTACCATTTTCTGCACGTCAGCTATTTTTGACGCGAAGCTGCCGATATTTCAAGAGAATGTTCCACATTTGAAGATATTAAAGCAAGCATCAGATATGATGAAGTGAGCTTACTTACACGTTCAAGTGGAAATGGCTGCTCCAGACGACATAGCATCTCTGCTTAGTAAACATACTCCTTAATGCATGATTGTTTGGTTACATCATCGTAACTTGTACAACATTGATTTAAAGCTAATTGACGGCCGTTATATTTGAAAGTTGTGTTCACGAACGCCAGACACGACTCAGCAATCATATTTTATCGGCCTCGATCGTTGCTTGGCCAGTGGAATAACAGAATTTTAATGACATTATTATGGCATCATGGGTGTCTGGGTGACCTTGAAATAGTCTCCCCGAAAAAGTTTGCACATTTTCGCGGACACGTAGCTCAGAAACTAGAGGGGTTTGGGTCTCAAGAAGGGCAGGACATGCACCGAATAATCTTCAAGATGGCTCTGTCTGTTCTAAACCCCATGCAAATATGAAATGCAAATGTGAAACACTTCCTTCAACATGAGCTATAATGAAGATACCTTTTCTGGCGTGATGCCGATATGTGCATGCTTAAAAAAGGATCTCGTCCAAATCTTGTCATTAGATGGATCTAACCAGTGTCTGCGCTAAACAGTGTTTGTTGTATGAGCCCCAGCTCCACCACCCGATCGCAAAATATCGGGCCAACTGCTGCAATGCTCAGCACTCCAATGCCCAGCGCGGTCCGTGCTGCCCTCTCACGTCACCTGACCTTTAACACAACCGCGGACACCGACCGGAGGCCATCCCAGTTGGCTATTTGAGCTACAGTCCTTTTGACCAGAAATGATCATTTCAGGGCTATGAGATAAAGGAGGATGGATAACGGTGGGGCAGGACTGCATGCGCCTGGGGGGGGGGGGGGAGGGGGGGGGGGGTCAAATCGCTTAGCCGTGGCCCTCGCAGGGACCCGTCTGCGGGGGTGCGCTCGGCGCCCGATTGCGGTCTCCCTCCCGGGGCCTCTTGGCTCGCTCATGGCTGACGCATGCAGCCTGCCCGAACATGCAGGGCGTCGCTAGGAAGAAGGATGAAGCGAAGATAGAATAAGGGGGTCCGATGTCCATCCCAGTCCAAAAGAGAGCGCCTAGACTGTGCTTCACATTTGCATAGGGTTTTCAACTGAAATAGACATACTGAAGATCATTCGGTGCAATTCAAAGCTCTGCCCTTCCTAAGACCTAAAACCCTTTAGTTTCTGAGCTATACATCCGCGAAGATGGGCATACTGTCTCGTGCAGGCTATTTTAAGGTTACTCAGATGGCCGTGACGCCATAATAACGCCATTAAAATTCTGCTATTGCATTGGCCGTGTGGCGATCAAGCCAAGAAAAATATGATTGTTGAGTCGTTCATATGTGGCGTTCGTGAGCGTGATTTCTATACACTACGCCGCCAATTGGCTCTCAATCAAAAATATGTAAGATGCGCTGACGAAATCAGACAATGACGCATTAAGGAGCATGTTCATGTAACAGAGAAATTGTGTTGTATAGAGCAGTCTTTTCCAGTTAAAAGTGCACCATTAGTTCTAAATGAGTTTACTTCATCACCCCTGGTGACTGTTTTAATATCTCTAAATGTGGAACATTTCCAGGTGCGTTTTTTAGCCCCTAGTTTCTCCCATTGAATATACCACCTGTTTCTCAACCAGCAGATGTCACTTTTGTAGAAGAGCTTGCCCACATCAGTGATCACTCAGCTACCCTCTGGAAAGGCATTCACCTACCCGCCCGGTCGGCCTAGGGCGTGCACCCAATGCCCCTGTTAAAGGGAATGTTTCACATTAAAGGCTATTGAAACTAACATCAGATATGATGAAACAAGCCCACATTGAAATATTGATATGCTTGTTAAGTGGAAAAGAGTGCCCCAGACCACACAATTCCCTGTTTAGCAAGTATGCTCCTCAATGTGGCGTGGTTTGATGAGGTCATCGCACCTTACATAATATCAATTGAGAGCCAATTGACGGCTGTCATATCTGGAAAGTGCGCTCACGAACGCCAGATACGAACGCCTTCATAGTTGCATTCTTCTTGGCCTTGATTATAGCATGGCTTATGGGTTGGCAGAATTTGAATAAAGTTAGTATGGCGTCATGAATGCCAAGGTGACTTTGAAATACGCTCCCCGATATGCCTTTCACCATCTACGCGGCGAATAGAACAGAAACTAGAGGGGCTTTGGTCTTAAGAAGGGCAGAATTGTGAACAGCACCGCAAGTTCTTCAAAATGGGTATTTTAGTTCAAAACCCCATGTAAATGTGGAACGCTCCTTTTAAGGGTGCGTGGACTCACCCTTCCCGGCCGCACCCGGCGTCACATTTCTGAGGAGTTCTTGGCGTAAGTGGGGATGCTGCTGAAATCTATTGGATGTTTCGTGAACTACAAAAATGAATTGAAAAAGATTTAGCTAACAACCACCCAATTCAGTGTGATTGTAGTGGCTGCTTGGCAGACATGGCATGAAGAATGGGTTTTTGAATGTGTATGTTGGCTACCTTTTTCAAATTTGATGTTCAGCAACGTATTATATGATAAGGAATAAGATTGTTGCAATTTGTAGCATTGCCATTGAAAAACAAATACAGAGGCCGTAACAGAAGTAAGGAGTCAACAAAATTGTTCAACTGCCCATACTTAGTTAGAATGTTGGTGATATGCAACAGAAAATTGAATTAAATCTATTTGATGACAATAGTGTAGTTGCCATTATACCCGGTAAAAGTTTGGTCAAGAGCTGGTGACCGTGTTTGGACTTGTTCAAACTTGTATATCTTCCATTGGCTTTACATTAGCAACAATCCCGACTTGAACCCACATTGCCACGAGTGACGGAGTGACAACGTAGGCGCCAACTTAGCTATCGGGGCAGACAAATTCCGCCATCCATTTACCACGTCAGCGTCTGGATACCACCAAGTGTTTGATTCAAAGCATTTACGGCATCGCACTGTGGTATGTTTTATTGCATCAACTGTCATCATATTAAAGCTCCTTTGACCGCGCGCAACGCATGGCTCGTGTCTTATCGACAGTTACTTCGAGACACCCCAGCATTGAAGAGACCTTGCATTATGTCTAGCAATGATAAACAATGTAACGGTTCAACGACATGTCAGTCGTATTACGATGCAGGAGATATATCTGTCTTGGCACACGACGGCGCGCACTGGCACGATACAAAACAGACCGCGCACGGCACAACCATGGCGGCGAAGACACAACTGCCCCCAGGTCTGGCACTTGTGTCACCCTCGACGGGCCGCATCGGGACGAATAGACCACGGACACAACTGCTCCCAGATCTTGCGACACGTTGTCACGCTTCAGTGCCCTGTAATATGATGAAGAAAACCCATTTTATGTATCGATTCCAATAAGGTGTCAAAACCTCAAATGACACGCAACCCAGCCAGGCTACAGTTGATGTCAGGAATGTCATGCACAGGCCATGTTGATAACGATCTGTATACCAACCGAAGAGTACCAGCATGCCCCATACAGCAGTGGTATCCTTATGTACGACCTGTTGTTCACCTGGTATTGATATATACATAATGTAAAGACAAGTGTGTCCTGATTTCATCCGCTCGTAACATGAAAGTGGCAAGTCACGATAACAAATATATTCACGCAGAAATTCGCCGAACCATGGATATTTGTATCATGTATCTTAAACACCTCGTCACCACTTAGAGAACTCTTTAGAGCAATAATTCCAGGTGAGCCCCCCCCCCCCCTCCCCTTTCGTAGGAGGCAGAGGTCTGTGCGCCTTGCCAGCTCACCGACAGCCTTTGCGCTCTTGTTAGCTGTGATTGTGCCTGCCTGCTGGCTGGTACCCTTTTTAGATCACCGTGGCTCTGAGGGCTCTTCCTGTGGACCCGGCATTTCGGTAACCACCATATAATATAGAGGTAACCACCACATAACCACCATATAATATATAATATGGAGGGATCAGACCCAGAGGGTGAGCCGACCATGGGTTGCCAGTCCTGCAGCTGATGATGCGGGCTGCAAAAATGTCCCTCAGCCATGTCAAGCCTGCCTTCGGCCTGTGGGGATTCCCCACCACGCTGGCACCTCATGTTCTCCACTTTACCCGGATCCCCAGCTGTCTCCAGAGGCGCTCCAGCATGTCGATTGGCCGTGGCCGTGTGGCCGTCTGGACACTGGAAGAGAGGAGCGCAATGTGGCCGCTCGAACTCATGGAGCATCAGGCCGTGTGGCCGTCTGGACACTGGAAGAGAGGAGCGCAATGGGGCCGCTCGAACTCATGGAGCATCAGGCCGTGTGGCCGTCTAGACACTGGAAGAGAGGAGCGCAATGGGGCCGCTCGAACTCATGGAGCATCAGGCCGTGTGGCCGTCTGGACACTGGAAGAAAGGAGCGTAATGGGGCCGCTCGAACTCATGGAGCATCAGGCCGTGTGGCCGTCTGGACATTGGAAGAGAGGAGCGCAATGGGGCCGCTCGAACTCATGGAGCATCAGGCCGTGTGGCCGTCTGGACATTGGAAGAGAGGAGCGCAATGGGGCCTCTCGAACTCATGGAGCATCACGCTGTTACCTTCGGGCTGTGCAGCGGGCTCTCCAGCAGCTCTGTCTGCCAGCTCCGAGGCCCAAAGCCGGCAGTTTTGTGTATTAACTGCCTCCTTCAGGTGAAGGTGATATCGTCGCTGAACTGGATGTGGTTACAAAAGGATTAGCTTCTTCCTCGGTCTTCAGTCAGCTGCCAAATGTCATCCGCTGTTCATTAGTGGCTTCTGTCAGCTTCTACTGGGTAGTCGCCTTGAAGGGAAATGCTAGTTTTTGGTTGTGTGACTGGTGTCAACTTCCTGAGCGATCTTCAAGATGACTTTTGATGGGTTGGTCATGCCTGACTTGACTTGCTCAACCCTATCTCCCTTTTTTGCGTTTGCTTCCGAGATAATTTTAGCGGCATCTTCCCAAGGTATCTTCATTGCATTTCTACCCCAGTACAGACCTGACTTTCATAATTTTTCTTGCAGACGCAGACGTAGTTTTGTGCAGGTGGTGCTTTTGCGATCTTGGATCTCGCTGACCAATGTAACTCGGCATCTTCTGCTTTTTGCCCCGCGCTGAGCGGCGCATGATGCTGAGCGTGCCTGGGCCACATAAAAAGCTCCATGGCACGTGTTATCTAGGGCCTTGGCGTTATCCCAACAAAATGAAAATGCACGTGCGTATGCGGTTTTAGTTTCCATCATGTGCATATAAAATCGGACATTGTACTTTCCACCCGTATGTATAACAATAGCTCTTTTTTATCTAGTCCCGTATTTCCCGAAGGGATTAGCATAAAACGGAAAGTCGTATGGGCCCTCGGATCCAGAAAGTCACGATCCTTATATGTACATTTTGGGGGGTATTAGAGGTGCTCCGCATGTAAGATATGTGGTTCTCTGGGATTGGCTGGCCATGGCTTTACCACTATAGTGTAAAGCCTAAAGATAACCAATGCATCGATACACAATATGGGGCAGAGTAAAAATTGACCAGAAAGGCTGATTATGCGCTATGCTTTCGAACTATCAGCCTTCAGTGTGGGGAAGGGTAGGGTGTCATTAATATAAGAGTTTTAGATAGCATTATGCATGTGAAAATACGCCTTCTCGGTAGGCATTAGTGGATAATTTGTATAGGCTCACAAGGGTCTTGTCATCCTGATCGCAACCTTCAAGGCTCCACGAGAACTAAGGCTGGAATTGCACACTAGCTCCTGTGTACTCTCCAGCTCATATGTTTGAGAAAATATTTCACTACCAACTGGTGTCGCCCGTAAGTCTTCCAATGTTATGCTCGAGCCTTTTCACATAATCTCTTCTGGTCAACATTTCAGGTCAGTTGAACCAATGCAAGTCGCTAGCCCGAAATCTGCGTGCGGCTTCTGGTGCTTCCAATGAGCGATGCTGGCGAGGTCATATGAGGTCTTTCGACGTTCAAGCTCTGTCTATCGTTCCTCTAACCTGGCAGTCGACCCCATGTAAGCTCTACGGCGTCACCGGCAGAGCTGGAGGAAGGCCTGACCACCCGTGACCGGCAGGCGTGGAGGAAAACGGTGCTGGGCGCCGTCGACTCACCCGCGGCCCGCTTCTTCGGAGCCGCCGAGCGCGCCGTGCTTGAGGACCGCACCTTCGGCGACTGGATCACGTGCGACCAAGCAGCCGCCGCCATGCTAATCCGGCCCGAGATCGTGCTCAAACAGTCGACGCACCACGTGAGTTGGCAGCAGCCCAGACAGGGACTCTACGGAGAGAGAGGCTGGGGACAAGGCAGACGTTTTTGTAGACTCGTGTCGCAGTTAATGCGTTGTCGGAAGGGAAGCCCAGATCTACGCACCGCAACGGCGTGCGCAAAGGAACGCCACGGAATCAGACACCTTCGAACGCGGTGGGTGATAGGGTGAAGGAAACGCTTCAGATATACCTAATCGAAAGAATCGGCGGAGTTCATGTCGCGTTAGTTCCCATCTATATTCTGGAATACACCGCACATCACCAGCAACGCATTCCAGCGGATATATTTTTTAGCATTATCCCGCATTTAAATGACTGTGCCGCAGCCACGCATCAGGGATGACATCACATGACGGCAATCACGCTGCGGAGAGGAGTGGCAGGATGTGTTCTGCAGCAGGCTGCAGCTGATCTAAATTGCACACACTGCCGGTGAAATACCGCACATGAGCAGATGACACATGCTGAGCGCAGGTCATTACACGCACCATACACTACCCCCCGACGCCACGCCTGCCATTGATCTGTACGCAGCGATTTCAAAATTTGGGGAGGGTAGGTTGAGCACAACTCAAAGTGTTTCCCGAAAAAGGTTCTTAACCGTTCCAAAACCGTGGTCAAAAACCGTGGACCAAAAGGCGCTTTAACCGTTCTTCGTAATGTTTCCTCTGTATGACGTGCGGGCGATGCCAGAACGCGACGATGCTGCGTTGCCCATTAATGGGCTCTTAGGTGGAGTACGTTTTCTTATGACATGAGTCGGTCCGTATAAGTGTCCCTCACCGGGTGATCTCATTGGTAACTGAACTTGCACCATGCCCGCGCCAAGCCTGGCCGTTAGCGCACCCCCCCCCCCCCCCTTCCCAGATGGAAGGCGTCCCGTCCTGCGTAGTCATGTGATCTCCGGTGAAAATACCTCGAAGGCTTCATTCTGAACCTTCAGACGGTGTTTTTCTCAACCCTGATTCGGCCTTTTTCTCAAGGAAGGGATGATCAAACTCGGCTGCTATGTGTTCGGATGAACGATTGACTTTGATACGCTGGGTTGGATATAAGCAAGTTGTAGAGCAACGGTTCCCATCTTAAGCCCTAGCTGCAGATTCCCAAGATGTGACACGTCACCGCTTGCCACGCTTCCCATAGACTATACGCACGCTACTCAGGTGAAAGAGGAATTCCAGAAAGAGTACTAGGGATAGCGAGAACGAAGCCGAGTGGCGTTAGCCATTGCAAGCAACAACAGGCGACTGGGGCTGTGCGGGCGAGAACGACCGTCATGAAAAATGATTTCGAGTGTCTTTCAAAAGGAATTCGCACCTTTCAAAAGGAATTCGCACCCTTCAAAAATTAGACTGGGTGCATCATTTTCACAACTTTTAGGCTGTCATCTAGACAGATAAACAGTTAACGAAACACGAAAGTAAAGATTTTTACGTTTAGTCTTCCTGTACCACCAGAGTACAGCAACATTTCGCAGGGCTGTAAAAACCAATCCGTTTTTGTCATCAATCTAAAAATCGTACCTGTGAAATATACGCCTAGACTATCTTTGAAATAAACGTTTTGATATCCTGGATAGTTCAAAGACACTTTTCAGATGCGGCATACTTTTCGTCCATCCGTTGGCCACGGCTTAGTACCAGCCGTGGGGCCGACGCTGCGCGACCCATGGAGAGTGTGACGTTTGGCGTCGAGGTCTTTGCCGCTAAAATTTGCGAGCGCGCATGTTTAAAACTACGCTACATAATTTGCGTCAATAATCAAGTCTGACTGAATGCTTATCTTTTTTTCAAAAAACATGGGCTGGACATGTTAATACAAGTGGCTTACTCATTTTGATCTACCTACAGTCTATAATGGTGGGATCTCTAATATCTCTGTAGAACACGGGTACGAATTTTGACGAAGCTTGTGAGCTCTATCGGCTTGGAGAGAGTCCACTGGACCATTTGAAAAATGGAGAGCTCCGGCGATTTCCTCCATTCAGTCGTTTAACGAGCGATTCCTTCGGTTTAATAACTACAAAATTCGGGCAGAATTTATTTCGCGGTAGCTTTAGGCTTCCATTCCAATTACAGAGGGAAAAAGTTTAAACAATGTGTTTGTAAAAGAAATGCACGCTCGCATTTGAACAGTGGGTTACGTCCCACGTTTTTGAGGGGGGGATTTTCACTAGCAGGGGCCTTTTTCAACCCTGTCCCCTTCCCCCTTCTTTGCCAAAGCTCTGGTTGCGCGCCTGCTGCGGTGTACCACACGTTATAGCTTTATGCTCCGTTACATCACATGTCGTGTGATCATCACAACTGTAGTACAACATCGAGCAGGCAAGACGTCCCAGAGCCCGAAACCGTTCCAGGAGCCACTGATGAGCTACCAAACACAGAGCGTTCCTCTCGCGGAGCAGGAGAACTTTGCCGTTTGAAGGGGGGGGGGGGGAAATGTCGTTGAACTAGCGGTAATAAACATACTGTCAGGAAGGATCACGGGACGGGGGCCAACGCCATCACACTTTGCGCTCGTCGAACTGTCAGCTCATGGCAGCAGAGGTGACAGCATGTGGCATTTGTAACGGTATGGCCTCTTGCCCTTTTGTCACTACGCCGCTAACGTGTAGAAACAAAGAACTTTGACGTGACTCATGCATTATCCTGTAGCGCCGAAAATATTATTGCCTGTTATATCACATCCAGTGACGCCGATGCATCTGTGGACGTGTATCGCATGCCATGTTTTGTGGTTTCTAACAATATCACGAGACCTTTAGAAACTTTTATAAGCGTGGCCACACTGGTTCGCATCGGGCTAATGTCACGGTATGAAAACCGAGTTTGTGAGCTCAGCGTAGACCAGGCAAAGTGTCTGCACATTATTCGAAGTCGTTGATCGACTATGAAGGGCTTGTGTGTCCGTGGTTTGTCACTGTGCTTCACGGAAGGAACGGAAGGCGGTCACGGAAGGCTTGTCCGTCGTTTGTCACTGTGCTACGGCGGTCACGGAAGGCTTGTCCGTCGTTTGTCACTGTGCTACGGCGGTCACGGAAGGCTTGTCCGTCGTAGCACAGTGGCAAGCGGAGTAGTTGTCCGTACGTAGCGCGGACAACTACTCCGCTTGATGGAGTAGTTTTCCGCGCTATTGACCTCGTTTAAGCCGGACGAGCATACGATAGTCAGGCAGATGATTCCATCCCCAATACTGATACCTGGCTTCGTCTACTTCTATAACGAGCATACTCTCCCTCTCTCTCTCAGTATACTCAGACGAGCATACGATAGTCAGGCAGATGATTCCGTCCCTAATACTGATACTTGGCCTCGTCTACTTCTATAACAAGCATACTCTCTCTCAGTATACTCAGACGAGCATACGATAGTCAGGCAGATGATCCCATCCCTAATACTGATACCTGGTCTCGTCTACTTCTCTAACGCGCATGCTCTCTCTCAGTATACTCAGACGAGCATACGATAGTCAGGCAGATGATCCCATCCCTAATACTGATACCTGGACTCGTCTACTTCTATAACAAGCATACTCTCTCTCAGTATGCTCAGACGAGCATACGATAGTCAGGCAGATGATCCCATCCCTAATACTGATACCTGGTCTCGTCTACTTCTCTAACGCGCATGCTCTCTCTCAGTATACTCAGACGAGCATACGATAGTCAGGCAGATGATCCCATCCCTAATACTGATACCTGGACTCGTCTACTTCTATAACAAGCATACTCTCTCTCAGTATACTCAGACGAGCATACGATAGTCAGGCAGATGATCCCATCCCTAATACTGATACCTGGACTCGTCTACTTCTATAACAAGCATACTCTCTCTCAGTATACTCAGACGAGCATACGATAGTCAGGCAGATGATTCCATTCCTAATACTGATACCTGGACTCGTCTACTTCTCTAAACTGCCACGGTGCCGGGCACAATGACATGTGAGTTTCTGGACAGATTTAGACGGGTTGCCTACGTCTCCAGGCTTACTTTGAGTCACCATTGCGTGGCATGCCGCCATCGTAATGTATTGTATTGCACTTTATCAAGTCGTTCCGCATTATTAGGCCTTTCTTAGACCTTCGTTAACAGGTACATCGACAGTCACAGGGCGACAAGCGTAACACGACACGAGGAGACATACACGAGGTTAAAAATGGCAGTTGCTTTGAAAAGTGTTATGGAAACAGGACTTAAAAGAAGAAGATAAGCCCGCGAGGCATTGGTGATGACACGCTAGTTGTAGATTGGCGCAGCTTGGTAGGCATTTGCTCGCTTTCCAAGTTTGTTCTTTGGGGCGAGAAAGAGATACATGACTAGATTGGCGCGTACTGCGTTCGGTCTTTTCCTGGTTGTAGGATAGCTGAGAACGTAAAATCTATGGCTCCCCGTTTGTCAATACTTTGTGTACGAGGCATATATCGAAGAAGTCGATAAACGTTTGGCCACTAAGCCAGTCAAACCATCGTGGAACATCCGACACACGGTCAAATCTATGTCGCCCGGGGACACCCTGGCTGCGAAGTTAAAGACTTTCTGCAATTTCACAACAGCTGTGCAGTTCCCGCCCCCATGAACTTGAGCGCGGTAACGCACATGGGAGAACACGAGCGGGTGAATGACGCGTAGCAGAACATTGGCAGATAACAGGTGGCAGGCAAGGTTTTGTTATGCCGAACGGCAGACTGTTTCAGATGTGGCCCGGTGAGTGTGAATCATGTACTCCCGTATCCAGTTTACTAAGTCAGTTTGTGAGAAGCAGTGCGAGTCATGTGAGCCATGCGCTTTCCCCCGACGGGTTACCTTTTGGAGTCCAGTTGAGTACGAGTGCATGTAGTCTTTGTCGTCTGGTACACCACTTTTAAGGTTTTGGTTGCGTACCTGGTCTTCTAAGCTGTGTGCGAGGGTCGAGCAGTCATCTACGTGGGTGACATTGTGTACACATTTATGCAAACAGCAGGCGGCTGGGCTGCTGTGAATGTATTGCTCTTTACGCACGGCGGTCGAGCAGGTCACGGCAGCTGTACCGTTGAGGGAGAAAAAGTGCGTTGCCGTCTGGTAGGGGGACGCTGGAGGTGTTGCTGTGATTGTAGACTGTGCATTGCCGCGACCACCGCTTCAGTGACCTCAGGTCGCAGGTGAACTGCTTACATCTGCGCCGCAGGCCACGGTGGAGCTGCATGGGAAGCTCACTCGCGGCCTGATGGTGGTGGACCGGCGCAGCTGGAGCGAGCCCACAGCTCTTGGCAGGAACGTCACTGTGATCGAGGCTCTCGACCTCGAGCTCTACAAGAAGATGCTGCTCGACGCGTTCGGCCATCCGGGGGTCGTGTTCTGAGGCACGCCGCCGCCGCCGCCGCCGCTACCAGTGGTCAACGTTTGACCATGGCGGATAGGATAAGCATGCCACCATTAAGGTCAATAGTCCGGTGTCCTCCAGGTGGTAAAACGTGCATACTACGGTGTCGCCAAATATATCAAAAATGCCACGCCGAAGAAACGCGGGGACACTTATGAGAACAAATAAAATTCCGCATATTCCCCCTTTGTAGCGAGCTGGAGTCAACCCACAGTGGTCGAAGCTGCATTGCTGCCCATGTTAACGATCCGCAGCGGTCAAGTTAAGCCTTGTGTTCGGCAAAAGACGCTTAGGTGACGCTTGTGATCGTTATCGCACATTCGTTGGCATGTTGGGGAGATAATGCGTGAAATGAAACTAGTGCATCTCAATATATTCTGATTATTCAGTTACGTAGAACTGGCACTCTGACAATATACGGTGTTATTATTTGACTATAAACAAACATTTTGGATGAACTTATATTTTGGAATGTAATGTATTTAATAACATGGAAGCGGTTTTGTGAGGTTGATTCAACATAGCATCCAAAGACCAACAGGAAATGAGATTAAACTGACGCACAGTGTGCACATGCCACAGTTATACGTCATCAGAACGACAGCCGAACATCATGCTCTGCCACCATCAATCGCATGAATTTCACGGTGCTTCGATCGAGCGCAAATGAAGCCGTACCAGTTCTCCTCCCTGTTTACGGAAGCAGAGGCCTCCGTCACCACCCTCACCGAGCTGTCTCCAGCTTGTGTGAGAACGGGATGCGGTCTCATCTCAGCGGCTGGTGGGCTACGCGCCTGATAGCCTCCTTCGACACGCTCCTGTTCAGCAGCACCTCCGCGATCTCTTCTCGCGCCAAGTGGATCACCTCCTCGTAGCGAGCAGCTTGGAAGTTGACTTGCAGCAAAGCCGGGACTGACGGGCTTCCTCCTGATCTTCTTCACGTGCCTTCGATTGTCAACATGTGTGTGAGCCAGCTCGTTCACGAATATGTCTCGAATATGGCTCGCTCGAATACGGCTCGCTGTCGTTCTCGAATATGGCTCGCTGTCAGCAGCCATCGCTGCATTAGGCTCTGTGCGGCACCAGTAAGCATTTGTTTGCATTCCCGCATTTCCTTCAACAGCGAGTGCTGCTGACCGTCGTGTAAGGTCTAGTCATCTCGTGCGTGAGATATCGCATTTCAGCATTATGGCCAGGGATCAGATGTTAACGAAACCAGGCTACTGAAAGTAATAAACTTCGTCACCAGAGTAGCTACTGGCCTCCGGAAGCATGACTACGTGTCTCGCGCGCGGAATGACCTGCACTTTGTTACGCCTCACCAGATGTGTGGAATACAAACTGCTTTTGCTGGGCACAGAGCCCGTAAGCGAGGTGCGCCTGCAGATCTTGCCTGCTTGTTTCAATTGCAGATTCTTGCAGATTATTGCCTGTTTGTTGCTTCGCCGACGCGCAGGTTAGTGACCCATCCACCCGCATGGACCAAAACCTGCGCCTCCCGGCGGTGCGTGAGGCGGCAGGACAGCGGTCCTTAGCGTACCGAGCGGCCTGTCTCATTAACCAGCCGCAGGAAGATATAAGACATGTGGCTTCGACAAATTGCAAGCGCCCTGCCCAGCCATTTTTGTACGACATTATTGTATAACATTGTTTTTGTATGCATGCGCTTTTATGAAGCATGTTTTTGTTTGCATGCATGTTTTTATCTAATTCCTGTTCCCATTGTTTTCGACATATTTTTATGTCTTCGAGACCAATGACACGCATTAGTCATGTTATTATGAGGAGTGTCAGCTGACGTCGAATACGACTGAGGCTTGAGGTTGAGCACCAGTTCCACCGCTGCGTCTGTCGCTTCGACTGCCTTCAAAATGCATTTTGGAGTATTGTTGTTGTTCGTTGTGTTGTGGATGTTTTCGGCCATCGCCACTACAGCCACAGTGCAGGACTCGTCTGCGTGCTCCATTCACTGCCCTTCTGAGAACTAGCTGGTCAGCTTGGGAAAGATAACGTTTCGAAGAATGCACCGCCATGCTGCACGCGCTGCGGGAGAGCAGTATGCTCCCATCTTCCCACCAGGGAGGCCCGAAGGCGATTCCGATAGTACCGAGAACCATTGATACGGTAGAACATGTGTTGTTATGCCTGTCATGAACGCTGCTGTGCCGTGCTGAGACGCATATGCGCGACTGTCAGGTGGCTGGTAAGACTCGGACCATGTAGGAGAATGCGGCTGAGGCACTGCTCCCGATCTTCCACGCACAGTCAAATGCGCATTCAATGCAGTTGGTCATCGCGGGTACGCGTCATTCGTATTTTCAGCACGCAATGCATAACACTGTCCCTCAGGCTTCATGCAGCCGTGTATGCAACCAGGGCCGTATTAGGGGGGGGGGGGGGGGGCTGAACAGTGAAATATGGCCTAACCTAGCCTCGAAATATGCCAACAAACCGGTTTCTCCCCAGATTTGACAAACTTTCTTCCCGAGGTTGGGGGAGGGGGGGGGGGGGGGCTGAGCCAAGCCCAAGCTGAAGACACAACTGAATAGGAAACTGCATCCCTGTCTGCAATGTTGTGTGCGGTGATATGGGCCTATTCGGAACCTGAAATGTTCATCTTAACGGTCGAAGATTGTCCCCACCCAACTTGAGCCGAGCTATTTCTGGGCTTATGATGGATACTTTCCAAACCTAAGAGGCCTTACCTATTATAAGCCTCGTCCTTGCTTAAAATCGACGCTATCCAGACCGACAAGCGCCTTGCTGAGTTGACGACGGCCCTTTCTTGATCACACAGGTGGGCTTCTTCGAGTCTGTGACAGTACCTTTCCGGAGAAGAAATGAGCCCTTTCCGTGCCTGAAACTAACAAAAGCGATTTTCTGTCTTGAAATAAGTCCTTTCCAACCGGATATGGGCTTTCGCCGCTCACTTTGGGTAACGCGATAAATAAGTTCTTCAGACCACCTGAAATTAGGGGGTGAGCAAAAGGAAGGCTTTGCTCCCGCCACAAAAGATGAGGCGGTATTTTGCCCCCGACTCCTCCCCCCCCCCCAATGTACGCCGCTACTGGTCCGAGGGACCTAAGGGGAGGCGGTGCTTATCCCCGTGCTCTCTGCCAGCGCCTTTGGACTGCGGCTTTTTTGGTTTTGGCTGGATTTTATTTTTTCGGTCCTTTCGTTTGCCTGCCGACAACCGAGAAGAATGTTTGCTCGGTGGAGCATTTCAGACATGGGTGTCGATTTCTCAAAATGATGGGGGGCCAGAGTCTTGGAGTCCGCCGTAGGGGGACAGACACAGTAAATTTATCGGATATAGTTCACTTCTGTATATATATATATATATATATATATATATATATATATATATATATTTATATAATGTGGGTGTGGGAAGGACATATGCGTCTGCGTGTATATGCGCGTGTGTATGTGCTGTGTGTGTGGTGTGTGTGTGTGTGTGTGTGTGTGTGTGTATGTGTGTGTGTGTGTGTGTGTGTGTGTGCGCGCATGTGAAGTACGCTTACCACACTTTTTTAGCTCACGTACGTATCACAGCAATCGCATATTGAAGCCTGGCAGTTTGAATCAGTTTCGTATAAACACAGTGGTTTTGTGAAGTTGATAGGGTGCAGTTGCATCTCTCTCTTGCGAACTGAAAAGCAAATATGCGTATAATTTACCATCCTGCGCGTATGTAATCTTTTGGTGTATAATATATATGTATTGACAGGAATAGTGTCAGCAGTATATCTGACATTGCATCTTGTTTGCATGAAGCTTCTCGATATTCCAAAAAATCATCGATAAGCCATATACGCTTCAGTTCATATAAAACAAACCATAACCACTCCTCCATGCATCATTTCAGAAAATACTTTTCAACCTTTCCCCAAAACGATCAGGCACATGCCCTCCTTTCCATATTGTCTTTCCCCGTTCACTTCATCAAACACGCACGGCTAGCCAGCTGTAGTTCAGGTATACACTGTTTGAGGCTGTTGTGCCAGTGAGAGGAAAGCATCTCCAACCCGCTTCAGTTCGGATGTATGGTAAGTGAAACGACCATAATGCCAATGTCACGCGCAAGCGAGGTTGATTGTGAAAGTATTGCTAGTTAAGCCGGCTCTCCAGTGACCATGTCCATCTGGGAGGTTCAAAATTGGTTCCGAACCGATGACTGGAACAATCATATAACAAAGCTTCGACCACGCGAGCTCTCCAACCTTGGAACAAAACCCCGTGCCGTTGCAGCCCCCGTAGGCCACGCGGCATCGGCCGCCTTGCATGTATTAATTAGGCGGTGGCCGGTGAACGGACGAAGACAGTACCGCTTCTGAAACAGGCGCCTTTGAACGCCTTAGAATATCAATTATTGCATTCAGAAGGTAGACCGGGAGCATGCTTCACCTGTGTAATTTATATGTTTGTACTAGGGACGGATTAGCACTAAAGCATTACCAACCGGTGACGAAATTTTGTGGTGGAACTAGACAAGTAAACAGAATCCCTCTTTTACTGTTTGTTGCTGACGCTTTTTGTCTGTTCAGAGGACATCCTCAACATTTAATTGTGAAATCTACTCGCCAGTATAACTTTTGAACGATGCGAATTCATTTCGAAAGACTTTCGGGGGCATGATTCCACGACGTTTGTTCTCGCGCGTTGGACGGCCGCAGCCCGGTTTTGGCCTGCCGACGCCGTTCGGTTGGTGGAAACTGCAACCACGACCGTCAGTGATCTTGCTTCTAAGACTGCGAGTACACGGGCTAAAAGTTTTTTCATGCAATTTGTTTCAAATGTTACTCCGGATGAATGATGGACGCAGGTGCGTCACTTTCCAACATGGGATCGGGGAGGGAGCTGAACCAATGAAGCTGGCCTGACCTACCTTCAAAATCCTGATTTCTCCTTGGATTTCGCCAAGTTTGATCTGCGTCCATGATGTTAAAATTGAACTAAGAATAAATATTTGGTTGGTTCCGAAATTGTTTTGATGTTGAGGAATGACTTCCCTTTTGAAACCGATTTGACGTTGGTGATGATATGTCAAAATGATGGTATATATACATTTGCGTTTAAAACCCCCTGTACCAGGAGTCCAAAGACTAGCTACAATTTATTGGCCCAGTGTTTCCTTTCTCGCTCATTTGCATTGGGGGTGGGAGTTTAAGAAGGAAGCACATGGAAGGGGCTTGAAGGGGGTTCTCCATATTTGTATGGGTTTTGAGCTAAAATAGCCATTTCGAAGATCTTTCGGTATAGTTCACAGTCCCACCCTTCCTAAAAGGAATGTTCCACATTTGAAGATATTGGAGTAAGTGTCAGATATGATGAAATAAGCTCACTTATAACTATCTGTATCCCTGCGAGAGGAAAGGTTGATGAAGACAACACAATTTCTTTGTTTTGTGAATATGCTTCTCAATACGTCATT